ATCTTTTTATCACCTGACCTATTATTTTGTCCTAGCATTTTCTCCGAGATGTCTTGAACAAACTTAATGAAACTTTTCAGAAATGGCCATCAGCAACTCTAGATGTTCATTTGACAATTTTATTTATCAAAATAATCACCAATGCCATGGAAACACATAAAAAAGAATAATTTTGTCTATAAATGTTCTCACCTTAGGCCTGGATAATGTTTATGAAACTTCAAAAAAATATTTATCAGCAACCCCAAGTGTTCTACATTTAAGGAAATCGTTGCCATGGCAACGATTTGGGAATCTTTTTTACACAACTAATTAGATAACTAAATGTTCTGTTTTTTTTTCACATTTGTTAACTTTAATGACTATAGACGTTTAAGGGCATTTAACAACTAAAATATCTGACAAATGGGATGACTTCCGAAGCGACTTTTCCGTCATGTATTTACGTAGTAATATCTCAATATTGCGTGCATATGGTGTTTATGTCTCCCAACGTATTTGGTATGCTAGAACATGCTCTGTGTACTATCAACTTTTAAGATTAGACAGGACACTGACATACAAGTATATTTGGCAGGGACTTCAACAGTGTAAATCAAATTCATTGTTAAATAAGATGTGTTTGTGAAACACTGATCCCCCTCTTATTGAAGCTCATGGTGAAGGTTAAAGTTCTCAAATGCAAGTCAGACTCCAAGATGAAGGTCAAAAGATCTAAAAGAAAGCTCTTTAAACAAGGTATACACCTGTGAAATATAAAAGTCCTAGCACCAACCGTTCAAAAGTTATGGCCAAGGTTGAAGTTTTTCAAGAGAAGATCAAACTCCAAGGTCGAAGTCAAAAGGTCAAAATTGTTGGTACCCAAGAAGTGGTTTTTACATTAGAAATGAACATTTGTAATGTGAAAATCCCAGCTCCAACCATTCAAATCTTATAGCCAAGGTTTAGGTTTTTCAAAAGATGGTCTAAATCCAGGGTCAAGGTAAAAAAAAGTAGTACCCAAAGGAAAGGTCGTATGACAAGGAATACACATGTGAAGAATGAAAGCCCTAGCGCCTACGGTTCAACAGTTATACCAAGGTTAAAGTTTAATAAAATTTTGCAAGATTTGCAAAAGTTTGCAAGGTCAAAGTCAAGAGGTCATATATATTGGTACCCAAAGAAAGGTCTTGTCACAAGAAATATACATTGAAATATGAAAGCAATAGTTCCAATCAATCAAAAGTTATGGGCAAGATTAAAAATTTTGTGGACAAACAGGCAAACAGATCGACAGACAGCTAGACGGACAGAGTAAAAATTATATGTCTTCGAATCTTCGATTACACACAAGTACTACATGTACGAAGTTGATATTAAAAAAAATGCTTCAGTTTTTGATTGTAAATATTTATATAGTTTTGGAGATCATGTCATCCAACAATCTGAATAGGTGGATGGCATGACCACCCCTCTCCCCAAAGAAAAAGAAATTTCGAGTTTAGATAGACCTGTATGTTCAGTGTGTGTGAAATAAATAATCTCTATCTGATCATCTAGGAAATGCCCTTACAAAAAATACTATAGTTAACTATAGTTTACTATAGTTAACTAAGTTAACTATTATGATAACTTTGACACTATGAAAACTTTGATATACTATAGTGATAACTTTGACACTTTGATTTACCATAGTGATAATTATAACTTTGACACTTTGATTTACTAAACTGATAACTATGAAAACTTTTATTTACTGTAGTGATCACTATGAAAACTTTTATTTACTATAGTAAAAACTTTGATTTACTATAGTAAAAACTTTGATTTACTAAAGTGATAACTTTGATTCACTATAGTGATCACTTTGAAAACTTTGATTAACTATAGTGATCACTTTGATACTAAAGTGATCACTTTGAAAACTTTGATTTGCTATAGTGATAACTTTGACACTTTGATTTACTATAGTTAACTAAAGTTAACGGTACACGCGCTTTTGCAGAGCTTTGTTTAGTTCACTCTTAATATTATGTATTACCCTCTACCCCTTTCCAAATCCACCAGTAGAAGATTGCTTACACGAGCCTCCCTCCTCCATTTCGTCCCGTCAATTTGCAGATACATGAACATGTATATATACCTAAACTATGCAATATTCAAAGGAAATTTTAAACTGTCTCTAGTCAAGGAATTTTGGTATGACGATCCCGATGTTTAACCTATTTTTAAAGCACCCTATTAGTGAGGTATCATAAAAAATGTTAAAGTATCAGCATATAATGACAAAGCATCAACATATTGACAAAGTGCCAGTATATAATATTGAAGTTTCAGCATATAATGACAAAGTATCGGCATATATTGTTGAAGTATCAGCATATAATGTCAATGTATCAGCATAAAATGACAAAGTATCAGCATATAATGTCAAAGTATCAGCATATAATGACAGAGTATTAGCATATTGACAAAGTATCAACATATAATGACTAAGTATCAGCATATAATGTTAAAGTATCAGCATATAATAGCAAGGTATCAGCATATAATGACAAAGTATCAGCATATAATGACAAAGTATCAGCATATAATGTCAAAATATCAGCATATAATGACAGAGTATTAGCATATTGACAAAGTATCAACATATAATGACTAAGTATCAGCATATAATGTTGAAGTATCAGCATATAAAGTTGAAGTATCAGCATATAATGACTAAGTCTCAGCATATAATGACAAAGTATCAGCATATGATGAATGTTCTCCACATAAGGCAGCTGAGGCGTTCCATACCTAACAAACTTCCAACTATGATCTGATTATCTAGGAATGAAAACATTCATTCACATTTTGATTAAAGATAATTTCCCCAAGATGCAAGTAAGATGTTACATGTATATACTCAAGTGCCTAGAATAATCTCAGAAATGAAAAAAAATTTGTTCAAGCACCTTTTAAACAATAGTGCGTCAGGCCAAAATAAAAAAAATACCTTTGTTTCCCCTAACGCGACCGACCCACTTAAATCGTTCCGACTGAAAAGTTTTTTTGATAAGATTATTCAAATATTTTTTTTTTATTATTTTTTATCAACTTTATAAAATACAATTTCATTAAAATTCATATTTTATCAGAAAGGCGGCTTTTGTTCTACTCTCATTTGTGTGGCCAAAGAAAGTTAGCTCGTGTTATAAAACAACGGCGATTTATCAATCTTAATATATATCTTTAACTTATAAGAATCCTACACTCTTGAAACATTTCGTGAATTAAATATAATATGACTAAGGAGTGTTAAGCCGTTATCTGCAAATGTGTCTTCTAAAATTAACGTACGTAGTAAGCATGGCAAAGCCTGCCTCATGAGCAGATGAGGGGCCCACCTTGTGTATTGCATATCAATAAATTTCAATGCATTTCATTTGTTTCGATTTAATAAACACTTCATGTATGATTCTTTTTTACTATATAGGACCATAGGAGTTTGTAAATATGTCTTTGTATAATTATTTCATCTTGATAAATATAATTTAGATTTTCTTCATTTCTTTTATTTATGGGGTAAACTTCGTGACTGACTATACTATTAGATATATGAAACTTTAATCATTTTAGATATGGTTTGGTTATACAGGTACAGTCTTTTCAAATATAGTGTTGAAATTTTTTTTTTAAATTGGCTTATGGTACGGCTTCCTGAGACGTCCTGTGTATTTTTCTTTAGCAAAAGGCCCTTGACAATAGGTTGTTTCTTTGCTGTAAAATACGTTTAAAAATTGTTGGGTCGACAACATTTGAACACCTGTCTAGTGGAGGGCTCCTAATTTTGATCATAAAGCATCAATAAGGAATCTTTTTCGTGCCGACATCTACATGCATACTGCAAACTGCATGGATCTACGTTTTAATGGTCTCATTCGACTGACCAGTATCCACGTCCCTCGTCGGGACCTGTGAGTTACAATAAGCTCCTGAATTACGTCGTGACTCCAAAACGAAACACTAGAATTACTGCGCAACGCGAGGTCCTTGACATTTTGTTTGTGAAAGCACTCGAAGATGATAGTAGGTTTGAAAAAAAAATATACCCGGATGGCAGATGGTTGAGTATTAGAGAATCTTGTCTTTTGAAAAAATTCGATTTCAATAAATTTACGCTGGCCTGAGATATTTCACAAGTTCAAAATGAAATGAATAATATTTGTAAATTAATTTACCATACATGTTGCTTTTAAATTTCATTTATATGATATTCGGTTTAAAAATAGGTTTCTTTTGTTCTTTCTTATTTATAAAGATTTTATTTAATTTTCAGAATGTATTTTCAAAACTGCTGTCAAAAAGAAAAATAATTTACCTACCTACCTACCCAACTTCAAATTTTAGGGTCGGGTTAGGGGAAACAAAGATATTTTTAATGATGGCCTCAAGATAAATGTTTTCAAACAACAACCGTAGGACGTGGGTTTAGTCAATACAGACAAAATTGTTAATGCACCACTTGTTCTTCTTACTTGTGAATTGAACATTTGGCCAATTACCGGGTAGGTTTTTTGGCCAATTTCTTACATGATCATCCTAGAATGCATTATTTGAGAACATTGATTTGAATTAATTCGTTCAGATCAGAGCGACACTTAGGGATTTCTTTATCCGGCGTTTGTCTGTCTATCTGTCTGTAACACCTTATATTTTGAGAACTGTATGAGGTATTCATTAAATATTTTGCACATTATGAAATATATAGTTTGGTACTACACCGTTGTTCCTTGTACCGTAACCTTCTGGCCAGTAGGCACACTGCTACTGTAATGAAGACACCGAGAAAAAGAGATCCTGGAATGACAGCAGCAGAGATGATTAAACAGGTGTCCGATAAGGGTACGACATTATGAGGAGCTTCACTACCAGTATCTGTGGTATTCGTGCCTTGAAAATTGTCCACATGAACAGTAATTTTCTATTTTACGATTATATGGTTATTAAACCACACTTAAAATGAAAAGAGAAACTCACCATTTCCTTGTTTCGACTCATTGGTTCTTCTGTTGATGCACTGATCAATTATGCATGTTTCTAATGATCCTGAAAAATAATAACAATAAACCTACAAAAATAAATCATTTGATATAAAATCAAACTTTTAAATTTGAAACATCAAATGATACTACCTATAGATTTACCTTGTGTCTTTTGATTTATGGTGCATTCGACATACATGTTTTTAGAACTGTATCCGCAATCGTAATTTTTCTTGCTTTCTAGCTTCAAAATAATATCAGTGTCGTACTTGATGTGTATACGTATGTAATTATCCTCCCTCGAATTCTCTTTTATAACACACTCTCCGGAACATTCTGTGATGTTTCTTAAAGAAACCTTTGCTAAAAGGGGAAGAGAACACAAGTTATATATTTCCAGTGGTTTTCTTGTATAATTTACTTATTCTGCAATGTATTAAAATCTTTACACACGATTAAACTATGATAGTAAGTATTTTAAGCTCTAAAGTGTTTACTTACTTTCAGAACTGGATAAACAAGTTGTAGAGCTAGTAATCACTCTGTAAAAATCTGCGGCTCTTTCAATACACTGTCTGAAATATAATCATGCAATAAAGTCTTTGGCTTCAAACCTTTTATTTTCTTCAAAAATGTAGGTAAGGTTTGGCTCTATTGTGCTCTAAAGTTTAATGTTTTCAAAATGTTATGAAATTGGCTTCAATATAAGTCGAGTATATAAATGTGATAAATCATGACAGAATATAGCATGAAGGAGGATCATTTTGGGAATATGATCTCATTAATTTTGTACAAGTTTTAAACAGAAACAAACCCTCAAAACGACTCATTTCTGGGGTTATTTTTCTTACGAAATAATGTTCACAGCCGTCGCCCACTTCAATATTTGGATAGGTTGTGTAAAATCATTTGAAAATCACATTTCTCAAAATCCTTGTGGGGCGATGCATGTGCTCTATATTATCTCAAAGAAAATTCCACTAAAAATTGATGTCTTATGGAACGTAATGAACAAGTTAATGAAAAACGATTTATATGTTATTACTGTATGGAATTTCAATGACTCAGAAAGTATGAGTTTTGCTTTCTTACATCAGTTTTATAATGTAGAAAAAATACAGGGCCAGATTTGCATTTAAACCGTACCTTGTTCTTTGTAATTCATCTAATATTATTCTCCACATGCATGTATAATGGCTATGAGCCGTCAGGGCAATTAATATTAATTTCGTAGAAACATGTGTATATATGTATCTATATAAAATTCAAAACAATACTTACAATATAGAAAGGCTGCCAACAGGATACCACAGGACAGATAAAATTACCAAAATTCCAACAACTGTATCAAACAACCAATCTATGTTCATTATTTTTTTTTAAATTGGCATACTAGGAACTTTATCATTGACATCCTGTATTGATTTGAATTTAAAGTCTAATGACCCTGTGTTCTATATTTCAGATAAGAAATAAAAAAAATCTTAACACTGATTTTCGTCAACAACAAAGATTCAAATGGCAAAAGGTTTGCTTGTGAAATGGTAAAAAGTTTTCTTGTAAAGTGCCTATCTTTCGAGAGCCATCTTTCTTAAGTTTCTCTCTTGGAAAAAAATGATAATAAAAATTCTATAGATGGCACATGGTTAATTATACTAGTTTTCAAGCTTATGTGAAAAGATAATTATAAATATTTTAACTCATAACAGGTAAAAATCTGGGTGCAAATGTTTAAATTGAGAAAGTATGAATATCAAAAAAAAAAAAAAAAAAAAAAAAAAAAAAAAAAAATAAATGTCAAAAGGAAATAAAATTGACTGTATACGTCCTCTTTTCCCGATGTGATTAGTACGGATTACTACGGATCGAAGCCCATTTAGGACCTATCAAAAATATTTTTGAATTCGATATAACGAATTGTCGAATTCCCCTAAGCCAATTTAATTCGTTATAACACATTTTAGAATTTTTTAAACGAATTTATTCTTTTATAACACATTTTTGAAATCGTTTAAACCAATTTAATTTCACATAACAATGTTTTTTTTTAATTTGTTTTAACGAATTCAACTTTGTTCAGATAGATTAGATTCGTTGTCACGAATTTACAGATTTGTTATACCGAATTAAGTTCGTTTAAAATTTCTGTTAGATCTAATAGATCCTAAACGGACCTTCGTAGACTACCACTAATGGTTAAACTATTACCTCCTGAAGTTATTTCTTATATCCTTAAATATTTAATTTTTTAAAAACCATAAATTAATAGTAAAAGATAATGAGAAAACTCCTACCATTTTTCATCTTTGTTTTCCCTCAAATTCACGTTAGATTCTTAGAAATAACTTTAAATGGTTATACAACTTAAATTTAAATGATATTTTTATCAAAATGTCAAGTGCCTGTGTTTTATAATATTGGTATGCTATTAAACTTATCATAAGTAAAGTTGGATCATATATCCGGTAACAAGACACGGCATGTTTTAATATATATCACGTTTTTGACTTAATGAAAAAGGTGAAGATAAACAATGTAGTGTTTCATTGTTCACTCTCTCTCTCTCTCTCTATATGATACAATGTGTTCTATCTCTCTCTCTCTCTATATGTATATGATACAATGTGTTTCATTGTTCTCTCTCTCTCTCTCTCTCTCTCTATGATACAATATGTTTTATTGTTCTCTCTCTCTCTCTCTCTCTCTCTCTCTCTCTCTCTGATACAATGTGTTTTATTGTTCTCTCTCTCTCTCTCTCTCTCTAGGATACAATGTGTTTCATTGTTCTCTCTCTCTCTCTCTCTATATATATATATATATGATACAATGTGTTTTATTGTTCTCTCTCTCTCTCTCTCTCTCTCTCTCTCTCTCTCTCTACAACTCTCTCTCTCTCCAGAATGGAAAAGGATGGTGCCTTTTAGCTGTAGTTAAGCCTCGCTACGATGAGTTGACTTAAAATGTACACAACGGTTTAAAATCATGGAGAGATTATCCGAATATTAACAAATTATTAGGAAAAAATACAAAAATACGTTTTGTATCAAATAATCATTTAGCAAATCAAAAACACAATAAACCTATATGAATTTTTCGAGTGCCCCCAGATCCAAATCAAATGCTCTCGCATTCTTGTGACATTTACAAGTAAATAAAACAGTTAAATCCTGATCCAAATAGACTTTTGCGAGAAGTGATGATTTTTAAGACGACGACTTACTTGTACGCTATGACAATATATGGAATCTCTTATGTGATATCAATATTTAGATTAAAAGTTGATTAGAAGATAAAAATGGGTACATACATTACGTTGTCTACTGTAGGAAGGGAACTGCAACAACCCCCCAACCCCAACCCCACCCCACCCCTTTAACAACTCCAGCCAAGTTTTCTTCTCAGTGTTTCTTCTTAATTTGATTCCTTTCAAGAAATGAGATTGAAAATAGAAAGAAAAGTAATTTTAAGGTATGCTAAGTTATTCTGCCTACCATCATATTTTGTGTTGATTGTATAACGGTTAATTATGTGTGCGATCCTAACACCATAATCACTGATTCCTGATTCACTGATCACTGATTCCTTAGGCTGGGAGAAATGCAAATGACCTGTTGGATCAAGTACCACTATCCATGCATATTCATGAATTTTTAAATACATTTACATTGTTTTAATTTTAAGTATTTTTATTTCAATATCAAATCTTTATTTATTTATTGCATTAATTTTCCCGAGATTTAACCTCTTAGTTAAACGAGTATGATATTTTTTTTTAATGAACCGCTAATTAAACTTGAACACAACCCGTCCTTATATCTTTAATAATTTCAATTGCCTTCAAAATAATACAGATTTAAGTATGTGTCATCCGGACACTTATATTTACACCCTTTTTACATTGAATAAAAAAAAAAAAAACAAAAAAACAAAAAAAAAAAAAAAAAAACAACAAAAAAAAAAAAAACGTTAAAACATGTAACACATTTATAACATTTTCGTTTGAGAAATGATCATCAAGGAAAAAGAACAGAAAAATTGTTGTAAATGGCCTGTCTTTCAGATGAAATATGGAGATAACGAACGGAATTCAAGCTCAAAAGTCCATTTAAACAATACAAATCAGGAGCAGAGCAAACATCAGAGGTGGGATCAGGTGCGATGGAGGAGTGAGCTTGTCTTGATCGGGAAAAATCCGTAGACAATTCAGGGTGTAAATAATTATAATGGCCTAACAATTAGTATGAAAAAAACGTCAGTCCACATTGATTTAATGATAAATTGTATTTGCCGACAAGATCATTGTATCGACCATATTAATAATAAATTGGTGGGTGGGTGGGGGTGTTAAGAACCACCATTAAAGGTCAGATTACCACAGCATTTATTATTTTCTTCTCGGTGGAGGAGAGATTATTTATTTTCAACGTTATCAAGGGCAGATTATTTTCAAAATCTGCCAGACACCTACATCTCGAATCAAATGACTGTCCCCTTTAGCGATTTTAGATATTTGTATAAGAAATAACTTCTAGTTTTAATGGTTCATGATGCTTATCCCGTGGAAATGACCAAGTTCAAATATAATTAATAATTTCATAAGCCTTCTAAACTAGTTTAATTCTTTCAGACTAGTCAGTTATTACTTAAATTATAAATATATTAAGTTTTAATTACGCTATCATTCATTGGTTTTCTTTGCATGGCCATTGACTGTTAAAGTAATACTGAATTTGATACATATATTTTCAGAATGATTGATGCAAATAAAATGGATGATTACTATTAATTCCTTGCCGCCGTACATAACGCAGATTTAGATGTCAAATGTACCTCAGTCGCATTTAAGTGGGACTAACCCTCTGATAAGACAGATAACTTTCTTAGAAGAAAATCCTAATATTACTCATAATTAATCTTACCAGAATTTTTCATTTTTTAATAATAAAACTGAATTTAAATCTTTATTTTAAATGTACATGTAAAAAAAAAAAAGAAAAATATAGGGAAAAACTAATTACAAGTTGAACAAGTTCTATCTTTTTATGATCCATTTAAAAAAAAGTGCGTTAATGTATCATGTACCATATGTAGAATATTTTTGTACTGCATTTATTTTTCATTGAGCAAGCTATTGTCAAACAAGCTGATGAAACAAGGATATCAACACACTCCTTTAAAGTCATCATTTCACAAGATCTATAGTTGATACAATAACGTTCTCAGCAAATACAATCTATCATTAAGTCGAATACAGACTTTTTCATACTAATTGTAAAGAATTTTTGCACATTGAATTGTCTACGGTTTTTCTGCCCGTTTTCCCGATCATGACAAGGAACACACAGCGGGTGTGACCGGTCAGCAGGGGATGTTTAATCCTCCATGGCACCTGATCCCACCTCTGATTAATTTAGAGATCCGTGTTTGCCCTGCTCCTAGGCCTGATTTGTATTCTTTGTATGGAATTTTGTGCTTGCTTACTGTTTGTTATCTCCATATGTGATTTTAATCACCGAACATGTATCCCTGGTGGTGGACAGTCTGTCCACGAGGATAATTGTCCTTCGGTACTTCA